GGAATACAGAGACTTAGAAAAAGGAGGAGTTTGTCCTTGATTTAAAAAACAGGTAAGAGTAATCCAATGGAGTTTAAGACCGTATTTGTATTTTAACATGAGTGGTTCTTATGAATTTACTGAGACTACTGACAAAGCTGTAAGTTGCTGAGTTATGCAGATCACAGCATCATACAGTGGTTTGGGTTGGAAGGGACCTAAGAGGTCACCTAGTTCCAACCCCGCCTGCCGTGGGCAGGGACACCTTCCACTAGACCAGGTTGCTCAAAGCCCCACTCAGGCTGGCACCAGTTGCTCTTTCCTTGTCCACCAATGCTGTAACCCTGTCATAGAAGGCTACCAAATTTGTCAGGCATGGTTTGCCCTTAGTGAAGCCATGTTGGCTGTCACCAATCAGGTCCTTATTTTCCATGTGCTTTAGCATAGTTTCCAGGAGGATCTGCTCCATGATCTTGCTGGACACAGAGGTGAGACTGACTGACCTGTAGTTCCCCAGGTCTTCCTTTTTTCCCTTTTTAAAGATGGGGATTGTATTTCCCCTTTTCTGGTCAGTGGGAACTTTACTGGACTGACACAGCTTCTCAAATATGATGGTTAGTGGCTTAGCAACTTCATCCATCAGCTCCCTCAGGATCCACGAATATACCTCATCAGGTCCCCTGGACTTGTGCATCTTCAGGTTCCTTAGATAGTCTCGAACATGGTCTTCTACAGTGGGAGAAGACTTCCACATCTGTCTTTGCAGGTAACAGTGAGAACACAGGTTATGGCTTGACGCTTGTGTTTACACCACCATTTTCCAGTGAGTAAGTAGATTATTTGGATCAGACTAAATAAACGGTAATGGAACCCATAGCATTGTTGTTATTTTCTTGTTAGGAAACTTTGGGAAAACAGTTAGGAAAACTTCCTAATTACTTCTGTGTATATTTTCTGAAAATTTTTGTGTATTTTTGACAGAAAGTGTGTGCTTGACTTTTTTTTTTTTAAGTAGAATTGATACCTTTTATTGGAGTTTCTCAATTTTATTGGTATACAGCTTTCTTCATGTTCCTTTAGGTCAGCTTATTAAAGATGGAACATGTGCCTAATACGCATTTGCCTACTAGAGGCTGAGAAAGGAGAATTAATTTTTCCTAGGAATGTCAGCACTGTTGAAGAGTATGCATGCAGAAGATTGTCAACTGGTGTTTGACTTTAAATATAGATATGTTGAGTTTTTAAAATAATGTCTATTCATGTTAGCTTAGATACTGTCACATGAACTGAAAAAAAAAGGATTAAAAGGCTGTGAACAAAAGATTATGAAAAATAGTTCTACATTGGCTGTGAAATGTGTGTTGTGGTTCTCGTAATAAATACAGCTCCTGTCCAGAATGCGGAAATCTCTTGAAGAGTTTTGCTGGGACAACCAAAGCAGAATTTACATCTGCAAACCCTATTTTCTTGATGGTTATTTCAAGCATGGAATTAGCTATGCTTTGTACACGTGACTGCTTTAAGCTCATGCACCAAAAAGGTGAATAGTTGTGTTGGTGCTGGAATAGAGAATGTTTTTTATCTTAATGATACTTGACTAAGAAGAGTATGAACAAAATTAACAGCAAATATTTATTTTTCATAAGGAACATAACACAGGTTTTTGGTTTTAATTACAATTGCATAGGCACAATACTCATCTGAAGATGAATAGACTATATCCGGCAAATTATGAAATAAAAAAAGCATGGTCATTGCAGGAAGAAAACCTCAAGACACTGTTTTAAAACTGCTAGAAAGTAGACCATTTCTACTTTTTAATATATTTATTTATTATTTTCTTTACAAAATAAAAGGTGCGTGAGGAGACCTTGCTGTTTTTTAGTCTGATGTGTGTTTAACCTCTTTGCTCCAAATCTCAGAAAAATCCTTTTTTAGGGTGAGGTTCAGTCACCTCTGTCATACATCTGCTCATCTCACACTGCTGCTTTCATAGTGATTGACTTAATAAGATGCAGGGATTTTTATATACAGCTATGTATATGACTACTTAAAAACATTGAAATAATAGAGATCAAGTAAAAACGAAATTGTTATAAGTCATCAATTTGTGTCCTTGTCCTAATTAGTAAATATCTAAGCCATCGACTTCTAAGTCCAGTTCTTACTAAAATTTAACACACCGATTTATTATTTTTTATAGTTTTTGTCTTTTTTCACATAAAATTATAATTATTTGCTGTATTTCAAATGACACAGCAAGAAGACCATGGATTACTTTATTAGGTAAATATTTGCTGTGGCTGCCTGTAAGACCAGCTAAACTCTGTTGCTTACAGTTGACTGTAACGTTGAACTACGTCCGATTAGTGAAAATAAACTGCTTTATTGAGGCCACACATAATGTTGAGTGTTTTCATTTAAGAAAATTTCATAAAATGACAAACATTGGGAAAAGCCAGTCTTATCAACGACCTGGATGAAGAATTAGAATGTACCCTCAGCAAGTTTGCTGACGACACCAAACTGGGAGGTGTGGTAGATAGACCAGAAGGCTGTGCTGCCATTCAGCGTG